ATATGTGTGTGTGTGTGTGTGTGTGTGTGTATACAGTATGTATGTATGTATGTGTGTGTGTGTGTGTGTGTATACAGTATAAAGCATGTTGTTAAGCAGGTTTCATAATATGGTCAGTATATTATTGTAAACAAAACATCTGTAATCATGATTTCTTCAGGGTTTTGTCAGTATTATTACTACTGCACTATCAAACGCTGTCAAATACTTTGACATGATGATCTTTTTTACTTTAATGGTGTCTCTCCACCCATGTTTTCTAACAACACGTCTGATACCACAGGTTTAAATGATGCCGTAATTGCATATTGTACCTTTAATTGTGCGGTTTCTTAATTTTCATTAACGTGCAAAACAGTGAGCACCATGCCTGCAACAATTGGAAAATAAGTCTACCACCTGTTCAGGTTTTTAAGCCCTACAGCGGGGAGCTCGCTCCTTACATTTTAACAGACCCATATGTGTGTTTTTTGGTTTGGCTGCACTCAAATCAACACATGTTTGTTATTTGGGGTAAAACACTCACATTTTTACAGGCCTCCATAAACACATGAATAGAGAAATTGCAATTAACCACACAGCAGGAATCCTAATTGTTGTAATTCTGTCACAAACACACACTTGTTAAATTGCTTCGCTCACCATTCCTGCAGAACTTTATTTGAAGTTTCTGTCTCTTGATGTGTGTGGGTGAGACAATAGAAATTCTCTTGTGTTTTCTTGTCTTGGTCAATACATGAATTTGTGCCCTACATTTCAGATTTTTTCTCTCATAAGTTTGAATTTGGAGTATAATTAAAAACTGTTGTTTAGACTGTCCACATATCACTAATAGGCGATAAAAGCGAAGTTGAAACAATAAAATCTCACTAAAAAGTGTGTATTCGAAATTTGGATGAAGAACATTGAATTGACAGTACATTTCTTAAAAAAACAGTTTGACTGTATTTGCATTTTTGTGTGTGTAAAGTTACATGAACCGTCCAGAATCTGATCAAGAAAGCTGAAGAAAAAAACTAAAATACTAACATCTGCTTCACAAATGTCTCTTTTTTTTTTTTCCTGGTGAGTCCACAATCACAGCTTTATATACAACTATTAAGCGCCCCCTCAACAATTTTTGCAAGCTTGAAATATGTTGCTGCAGGGCTAATAGCTGTTTTCATTTTGTTTCTTTAAAAAAACATGCTGAAAAAATGTTAAAATAAGTTTCTCAAAACTTTGAAATTGAAGTGCACATATTCCTATAGTTTACTTGTTGTATCTCACAGCATAGCTCACTGAAGTTAAATATCTAATTAGGTTGAATTTCGTATACATTAACTTTATTTTCTTGGTTTTGGAAGTGGGTTTCATAGCACTAGCAGCCAGAGCTTCGCTGCAGTCGGCAGCCAGATGTGTCCAGGTTTGCGTGTGATAGGGGTTCCCAAGTGGACTATCCTGCCTCAGTTCACTTGTACACACACACACATATATAAGCACATGTCCCGTTCCACCTGTAGATCTACTCTATACTGTCGTGTCCCCCCACACTCTCTCAGTTCAGCGTGCGTGTGTTTGCATGTGAGAAAGTGAGTCTCGGGTTTCACACTGCAAAGAGTGACCCAGAGTACTGCCAGCACCACATCTGTTAAGTTTTTAATTGGTCTTTTGTGATTTGCCCCAGGTTTTGATGGGTAATCCAAGTTTAAGAAATCCTGAAAAACTTCCTTTACGTCCAAATCTTTAAAGATAAAGCTTGCTGGTAAATTATAAAATTGGTAATTACAGAAGTTTAAAGAGTCCAACTCGAGTGGAACCTTCCAATCCTATATGCTCAAATCCAGCACATACTTTGCATTGAAATGTATGCATTTGGCAGACACTTTTATCCAGCTTGCATTACATTGGGTATACATTATTAGGGATGCACAGTACAGTATATTTGTACCTCATTGGCCATATTCATTTGTAGTATGATTGGTTTGAGTTTTTTAATGTGTTCAGTTTTAGTATTGAATTATTTTTTAGTTATAAATGATGTTTTTGAAATTCTAAATAATTTATATATAATATATGAAATTAATTATATAAAATGAATAAATTAAATACTATGTATGTATAGAAATAATTAATTATAAAACAGATAGATTTTTGTATTATATTTATAAAGTTACGTGCCTTAAGTGTACATTTTATCACTTATCCCTGAATCGAACCCATGACCTTGGTGTTGCTAGCACCATGCTGTACAGCTGCAGGAATGTTTTTAATACATGTAGGCAATATAGAATTTTAATATTGGATATTCAACATGAAAATAATTATCATCTTAAAAATTCTGGGTCGTATCAATGCCTCCTTATATGTTAATAGTTCATGCATTCTAGGGAATTGAACCCATGACGTTGTTACAGAACAACTCCACATACTTATGCAAAGGAAAGACATTATTTGCTAACAGACGCTTACCTAGTGTGTTGCATTTTTATGCCTAGTTTGACATGCACTTTTAGGGCTGTTACAGAAAGTCATGTGTAACATTTGCAGAACTTGACTCAATCTTTTATGTTAAGATGCAGCATTTAAAAGTTTTCATCAGATGTGGGAAGAGTATTAACACAATATTTAAAGTTATAGAAACTGTTATTCTTATTTTCATTCACAGCAGGATTTATGATTTTTCTGTGTTGTAGGCCACACCATATTTCTTTGGTTTGATATTATTGGAGATTGTGTTGGGATGGTTAAAGACAGATGGCCCTCGCATCAAGATAAACGACTTCATCACGTCTTTGTCTGCAGGCATGATGTCCCGTCTGCCTCAGTGAGTTGTGTGAGATTCACCTCGCAGGTCCTTCAAATGTCTATCGTTACGAAACACAAGGAAGTCTTTTTTCGATTTTGTCGATAGTCATGCTCTATATCAGATGACACTTGACCTTACAAGGAGATTATGCAGTGTTTTGAGTACAGAAAGAAACTGACAACAAATCTAATGTTATTTCATGTTTTACTCATGCAGTTTCCATCAAATAGACTTGTTTATCTGCTGATGGGCTCTACTGATGTAACTTAATTCAGCTCTTTTGGTGTCTTTCTCAAGGCTCGTGATGAGAAGTTTGGAACTGTCAGCTTATATTTATGTCTGGAACAACTTCTGTTTATTGGAGCTTCCCTGGGATTCGGCTTGGACGTGGTGGCTTGCGTTTCTTGGTGTGGACATGGGATACTACTGGTTCCATCGGTTTGCCCACGGTATGTGAATGTCCTGCCAAATTCACTGCTATTATATCCATCCAACTGCTTTAAAGGAGTTTGCTGAATGTAAAAATGGAACATCGTAACATTCCCATTTTTACAGGATGTGCTACTTTCTTCTTGTGAATTTTAATGATTATTTTTCAAATTTATTTGATGCTTTAATTTAGTACTAATAGCATTCTTACACCTTTCAGTTCCAATGGGAATAGGAACTAATAAAAACGCTTTCCATATGGTTAATAGTGATATAAAGACAAAAAAAAGTTTTTTTTGTGAAAAACAGACCAAAATTTAGGTCATAATTCACTGATATTCTTGCCATCCCTCGAAACTTGCTTCTAGCCCACATTTGTGTCCAGAACTCAAAAATGAACTTTTAAAATTTTTCATTGTCATGCATAAAATAGCTTTTGGTTATGTTTAAATGTTCTGGAAACATTATTTGATTCTAAAGTCATATGTGCAAATGTTAGTTTTAAGTTAACGGCTGGTTTAATTCCGTGATAATGTTGTTTTGACCCTCAAGGATCATATGTCTTGCTACATTTGCGAGTTCATAACTTGGAAATGCAAGTAACCTATGACTGTTTTTGATTTACCTCAGGATTTTTATTTTCCATATTTCAGTAAACACATTTATATACAGTATAATCTATCGGCTATCCAGATGTGGAAAATGCATCTTAGGTGAAACGCTTCATCTGGCTGCGCATTTGAAATATCAATCTGTCAAGAAGTAGGCGATTGCAAAAGACACTTATGTTTGCGTAGCATGAGAGTTCAGGCAGAGAGCCGTGAGACATGTGTCCAAACAGAGGATAACATTGCCACAGCTGTAATCTTTGAGTGCTGTGCTGTTTTTCTTCTTTCTTCAATAGCAGCCGTCGCAGAACAGCATTGCCAGTAAACATACTTTGTTACCATAGACTGTAAATCTGCTTCTCAACAGTTTTCTGTCTTGAGACATTGGATCTTGTCCTTGGAAGCAGCTCTGCAGTATGCTGGAGGAGAAAAAAAGCGTAATCCTAGTTTTGGTTTACCAAAATACAATTTTACAGGCTGTTTCGTTGTCTCAAATGTGCATTGCTCAATAATTTGCCCCATGTCCTCTTCTATTACACAAGTAAACATCTACACTGTGTCAGAGGCCAGGGCATTGACTTCAGTTTCTTCCGAGTGAAAAGGTAAAACAAGCTACTGCTCTTTGCTTCTGAAGTATGCTTACCATATGCTACACCAATTCCATCCATTTGAGATTTAATGCTGATACGATGGCAGGACGTTTTTTAAATTACATCCTTCCAGACTTCACTTGGACCCTTAAATAAAGTGATGAGGTGCTTGTGGCTGTCGTGTTATGTTTTCCATTGTCCCGGGTTCCTGCTCCTGAGTCGGAAATGTCATTTTTGTCAGAGGTCTCCTGTGCCCAATTTGTTCTTTTTGAAGTCAGAGGAAATTATTTGTCTAGTTTTCTGTTCCATCGCTGTCCGAGATGACTTCTTTTGGATATCGTATGGTTATAATTCATAAAAGACCTAGACATAATGGCCTTTCTTTTTTTTCTTTTTTATAGTTACAGTAGTTTAGCCTCTATACTTTTACAACCAGAGAATATTACTGAGAAAAGAATCTGAGATGTGAACGAAGTAGCAATGGGAATTGTAAGGAATTTAATGGTTCTGATTCTGTTCTGAATGATTTTTAGACCATGAGTCTTTAGACCATTTCATTATAAATATCTGACTCAAAAGTGTCATTTGTTAATGAATCGGACTTATCTGGTCGTGCTTTATTTTAGTTGTTGCAACCAGCATTCAAAAAGTTCTCTATTTTAAAACTTAGACAGAGTGTATGATGACAGACAACAGTAATGAAAGTTTTGAGATGATTTTGGGGATATTTAAGATAACCTAATATTTACAATAACCTAAGGATAATATTTTTTATTTATTTTTCCTTTATGTTAAGGAATTGTTCATCCAAAACTCACCCTTATCTATCCAGGATGTAGATGAGTTTGTTTCTTCATTGGAGCAGATTTAGAGAAATTTTAGAGAAAGAATAATTCAAATTGCATCACTTGCTCACCAACAGATGCTCTGCAGTGAATGGGTGCCGTCAGAATCCATAATCCAAAGTCTATGATCCATAATAATGCTTTCTCCAGTGAAAAAGTCCATCTCCTGTTGTCCTCTCACATCAGTCTCCACCAACATATTTGTTTAGTATTGCTTGTAAACAATGCTTGATCTGTGCATATTTCACTCATAATTCAGACTAGATGACTCTTTCATTGGGGAAAGGAATATTATGGAAGCAACAGTTTGAAGTTAAAAACGTCTTATTGATGGATTTGTTCATTACAAAGCAGTTGCTTGTGGGTTATTGTGATGCTTTTATACGATGTTTGGACTCTTATTCTGACGGCACCCATTCACTGCAGAGGATCAAGTGATTTAAAACCAAATTTCTCAAAATTTGCTCAGATGAAGAAACAAACTCATCTACATCTTAGATGGCCTGAGGGTGGTGAAATTTTCATTTTGGGTAAACTATTAATAATATTTAAGAATTATTAATATTTTAAGAAAGTGTTATTAGTAGTAAAAATTTTTATTTACCACATTAAAATGCAATACAAATATATAGAAACTTTTTAAAACATTTATTTTTATGTGCATTTAATGTAAAATATGTTATTGATTATTTGATGATCAAAAACCTGCACCAGCTCTTTGACTAAACCACGTCCACCTTTGTTATTTCAGGTGAAATTTTCATTTTGGGTAAACTATTAATAATATTTAAGAATTATTAATATTTTAAGAAAGTGTTATTAGTAGTAAAAATTTTTATTTACCACATTAAAATGCAATACAAATATATAGAAACTTTTTAAAACATTTATTTTTATGTGCATTTCATGTAAAATATGTTATTGATTATTTGATGATCAAAAACCTGCACCAGCTCTTTGACTAAACCACGTCCACCTTTGTTATTTCAGATTTCACTTCTGACCACTGACTTGAGGGGTTTACAGCGGGTGGTCTTAAGGTTTAGCTAATGGTCCTTCAATAGTTTTCATATTGAGTTTTGGTTCAGTTGGTGCACAGAAGCTTTTATCTAAAGCTCTATTCTTTTGGGACTTGTAAGCTATAAATCTTTATTCTAGCATGAGAAAATGATTTTAGGGGCATAACTGCAGAAATATGACCACTATAAAACTATACTGACCCTAATTAGTGCCATTGTAAAATCGGAACAATTTTTGATCGTTTTTATTAATTTCATTTTCACCCACGCAAGTTAAGAACTTAAAAAAAGAAAAATCCCTTTTTTGATAATATAGGCATGCAGGGATCTGTTAAAATGCCTGTAATATCTGTAATATAATATCTGTAGCATTTACAATTTGTATTGTGTTTTTATGTAATTTATCACAGCTGTCTTGAATGACATTTAAAACTAAATTCAAGCTTAAATTTAAGGCCAATTTGTAAAGTAGGTGTTTTTCCTTGTTTGAAGTAGCCTTTTAATATTGTTAGAAATTCATATCCTCATAAATCAAAGGCTACGGTTTGGTTTCGGTGGCTTTTGATGTTGTCCAGGCATCTGCTTCTGCGTGAGCTATTTGCATGCGTTCATTCTGCTTTCTTCTGTCATTCTCTGTCACATTTTTTCCACATGTTGCCTTATTTTCCAGTTGCCTGCAAACCTTTATTGTGACTCTTGGTGGTGTTTGGCCTTTCCATGTCTTCCTCTATAGCGATGCCACACTCCAGTGTAGCAGGGCTGGCTTTCCGACCGCACGGTCGGTTTTGGCAACATGTGCCAGACGAGGTTTATGGTTTAGCCCGGACTAGGTTAATGGTCTTCTGGATCCATTTACGCATCAAGATTTTGTTTTTTTTAATCCGTAGACAGAGAAGTGTATTAAAATAGCTGCGGTCCCCAATGTGCAATAGGAAATATGGTCAATTGCACTGTCTACAAGGAGTACTTTTGCATTCAAAGAAACAGATATTTGTTGCCATTTTGATTGTATAGCTGACATTTCAGTGTTCTTGAAATAAAATATAACGTAGTGAGATTGAATGCGGCTGGCTCGCTGACAGCGGTGGTAGCTCAGTTTGCTCTCTCGCACTCGTGGAGGCAGACCAACAGTGATTCTGGTCCCCATATGCTACTATTTCCAAAGAGCTCCACCAAAACCTCAGCTCAACCCTCTGAAGAAACCCGATGGGCTTTTGACAGGAAGGCCACGGTGGCTGCTGTTGCATTAGGGCTTCATCAAGTTAGTCTTTCATTTCTCAGTTTCATGAGTCATGAGCAATGAAAGATGTACGGTGGGCTCCAGAAGTCTGAGACCACATTGAAAATCTGGGATTGAGGATGTGCTGTAATTTAAACCTGGAAAAGTTTTGGGATTTTGAAAAATACAAAGACATTCTGAGAATGAGAGTCCTAACAGCTGATAAAAACACCACAATAACGCACAAGTAATCCAGTTAACATCTTTTGAAGTGAAAATGGCATGTTTGTAAGAAACAAATCAAAGCGTTTTCACTTCTGGCCAAAATACAAGTCTATAATAACAGTTCTTCCAGTGAAAAGTCCTTTCTCTGTTGTCCTCTCACATCAAAATCCACTGATATATTTCTTTAGAACTGTTTTGGGCTGTTTCTGCTTATATATTGTGCTTGATCTGTTCGCATTTCTCTCCTAAATCAGACATGACAGATTTTTCACTAGAGAAAGCAATATTATGAATAGAGGACTTATATTGTAGCAGGAAGAAGTGGTTTTAAGTTAGAAGCATTTTAATGATGGATTTGTTTATTATAGACATTCAGCTTTTCAATTCACAAGACTTTAATTCATGTTTTTATCAGCTGTTTGAACCCTCATTCTTACTGCACACATTCACTGCATAGGTCAGCAAGTGATGTAATGATACATTTCTACATGATTAATTTTTTTTCCCTCTGATG